AAGTTTCTCCACTTGCTCACTTATAGGGAGCAAGTTGTAAGTCAAGAAGATAAAATATTAATGCCCAAGACAGATTGTATATATATACACACATAGATATGTGTGTGTATATATAGATATGTGTGTGTATATATACACACATATACATATACGTATATGTATATATATGTGTGTGTGTATATATATGTATGTGTATATGTATAAGTATAAATATATACTTTTTTTTCAGATAAATGATGAAATAGAGCTCAGGACATTGCAATACTTGCCCTTTGTGGAAATGAAAAGAGAAGAGGGGAGAATATCTAGGGTATGTGAGAAAAATGAATTATACAGGACCAAGAGCTGAAGAGTTCTGGAATATCTTCATACAGAATTAGCTGTGACTCAGTTGTTTATCTATTTCAGATTCTGATGTGATGGGGAGAGAGGAGAGAAAAGTCTGATTCTGCCAAATTCTCCTTTTTAAAAAGTACCAACCAAAAGAAAATTTATCCAGAGTGGTCTTAGATGTTTGATGTAAAAAAGTCAAAAAGTCTGCTGTGAAAAAAAACCAAAAAACAAAAACCAAAAAACAAAAAAAACAATGTCTGCAATGATATCAGCCCTTGGGCTTAGGGTAGGTCGAATCAAGGGGATTAATTCATGGTCCTATGACAAAGGGAAGAATGTTTCTCTTGTTCAGCATGGTGTCAGACATACTGTTCAATCCGCTTGTAATAGAATGCACTAGATGAAAGAAAAAACAGTCAGAAGAGAGTGTAATGAGAATGCCAGATGAGAAATAAGAGAAAAAAGTGTTATTTTTGTCTAAACATGAGCAATAGGTATATAAAAAATGAACTATTCCATACCTTTCTCATGGTTTCAAAACACAAACATGAGTCTCTGGAAAGCACGGAAGAACACTGAGAATCAACTTCAGATACAGTATTCCTGCCAGTATGGTCAGGTGCCTTTGGAATCCATGGCCAAATGAGACTTCAAAAACTAATACAATCCATAAATTTGAAAAGAAACTAGCTAGGTGGTAATTTGGTCAGTCATATTGTATTATTTATCTGCATATTTTTATATCTGCAAGATATCAGGTTACTTCTGTAGTAACTACAAGTTTTCTGTACCTTCTCTTAAAAGAGAAGACTCAAAACTTGACTAGAGAAATGAATTGGAGGAAACATCATATATTAAAAAATTCAAAATTAGAGAAAGGCTCCTATAGATTAAAAAAAGCATAAGTCATTAGATGTTTACTACATTTGCATCTCTAGCACTTCATCTAGTACTATGTAAAAACATATTTAGCAAATGGCCATTGCTGTTGAAGAACTACTGGGTAGACCACAAGTTCCCTAGACTTGGCTCCCAATAGGGAAGCCAATTCTTGTGTCCAGGTAGCGAGTACATTTATTCAATTAGTGTAAATGTCCAACTAGATATTATATTTGCCCAGAGACCACAGCTTCTGTTTCTGAGGGGAATATATCTATTGAATCAAATGATTCTGATAATTTACTTTGAGGAGAATGACTAAAACAAAGAATTTTTTCCCCTTGAAACTGAACAAAAAGCCAAAAAAGACTATTTCTCAGAAAAAGCAGCAAAAAAATATATCCAAAAATTTTGTCTTTTGGTTTCTGCTCATCTCAATAATTTCTTCATCACTTACAGACAGTCCTTTACTAGCAGAAAGATAAATAGCCCCTTAGCGGTCAGGTCTTCTGTCTCTCTCTTCTAATGAGAGTACAAGTCCATGATAAGTTCTAGGTACACTGTTTCATTAAGAAGAGGCTTTCTTTTGAACATTCTATGTCAAAGACAAGTACATTGGAATATGTGGATATCCAGGCTACAGTGGTTTGTGAGCTTTTGCTTTGAGCATTCTGGCTCCACATGACGACTTTCTGTTTCTGAGGCAGCCTATGAAAAGAAACACTGACACATTCGAATAATACCATGGAGTATCTTGAACTCCATTGTTGCATCATGCTAACGCACTAAGGCAGAGGTTGAAAGAAACGAATTCTATTTTACCCTAAGCCTTCCTTGTTACTGTCATGACTCACTTTCCTGACTGAAAATCCAAGGAGACTGAAAAAACATCATCTTGGACTAAACATGAGGTGGATTTATTTGGAATGCAGAAACAAAATAAAGATGGCTGATTTGGCTTTCAGAGGCCAAATGACTTCCTTGGCACTTAAAAAAAAAAACACACCCATATTTCCTTTTAGAGACATCCTAATAGTTGGTTTTTGATTGTGACTGTAATTAATCTAAAATGACGAACCAGTACATTTCAAAAAATCATTTGAATAAATGAAATACTGGGACCACGAGTCAGGCTGTGTGCTTGGTAGGATGCACATGGAGGCTCACATCAGTGTATTTTGCCTCTCCATGAATTGACCTGAGGAGAATGGGACATAGAAGAACAGTAATCACATGCTCATGGCTACTGTTAACTTTCTCAGAAATAATGAAGAAATCAGAGTAGTATTCCTCCCTCTCATCCACATTCATTCAGTCCACAAAATTTCTTAGGTCCCCCCTGTAAGTACTGGGGTACGTATGGGTGGTAAGTAAGGTAGGTAGTTGTCAACTTTATACGGTCTCTGCTGCCAAGGGGTGTCCACTGTAGTGGCATACAAGCAGATACGTAAACAAACAGTGCAATTTCAGGGATTAATAAATTGAAGAAAAATAAAGCAGAGTTAAAGAAATTGAAGAAAGGAAGTTTTAGATAGATTGATCCAGAAAGGCCTCTCTGAAGAGGCAACATTTGAGCACACACTAGAAATGAAAAGTTTGGTGAAAATGCCTTTCAGGTTTTAGGAACAGGACATGCAAAGGCCCTAAGGCAAGATGAGTTGATATCTTTTAGAAACAGTAAGTCTGATTGGGGTTCATTATGGAGTATGATGATAGGTGAACTTGGCTGAGGCCAGTTGTGTGCACTGTAACAAGGAGTCTGGATTTTATTCCAAGTATGATGGGGGAGGGATGTGAGCAGGAAAGAGATGATTTCATTTACATTTTAAATGGAAGCTCTTGTGGTATGGAGTAAAGAACTTGTGTGTGCTGGTGTAGTGAGGGTGGAAGATTGTGGGTAACAAAATTACACGTGGAAAGACCAGTTAGGAGGCTATTATACTTGGTTGCAAATCATGGCTTGAATGAGGCAGGAGAAGTGGGGTTGACTAGGCTTGAATGTATGTTGAAGACAGAGCTAACTGGACCTTCAGATTAATTAGGTGAGAGTGTATTTGAGAAAAAAGAGGAATCAAAGTTGACTTCTAGGCTTTTTAGTTTTTTTAATAATAAGCCAAACTATATGGACTTAACTCTTGACTTTCGTTCACTATCAAGAAATGTACTAGACTGAAAATTATGTACATAGAAGTTTTACAGATATCACATAGTTATTTAAGTCAGGGATAGAACAGAGAAGACTAGAGAAATCAGTTTAGCGATGTTTTAGTTGTTTTATTATTTTTCCAAAGGAGCCATTCACAATCACCAAGCCGGTGAGAAGAAAGTAACCAATAGAACTGATTTCTCTGTATGCAATATGTATAACTCCTTAGAGTAAATTGGGGAGGATGACTATGTAAGAGGTTATTGGTAAGGTGGTTTGTTCTATAGAATAAAGTGCATTCCAAAGGCCAATAAGCTGACAGACACTTAGCATAGAGGGGAAGGTGTAGCTGTAGTCACAGTACTTAAGTTTAAAGACTAGAGGGCCATTCTGCCATGGGATAAACATGAAGAAATAGTAGGAGCTTTCCACAGATTTAAAGAGAACAAAAAAAGGAAAATGCAGCCAACCTTTTTTAATCTAAGACCCAGAGTTCTTAGCTCCATTTTTAAAGCTAGGGTATGAGAATTTTCTGCCTCTACACTGCTCATAGCATTGACACCAGCAGCAACTCTTATTACATTCAGTAATTCTCAAATAGGGTGTTTGTGTGTGTGTGTGTGTGTGTGTGTGTGTGTATGTGTGTGTGTGTTTGTTATTTTGAGGAAAGGGCTGAATTTTGGACCCCACCTCCTTAATCTTGTGTGTCTGTGGGAATCACCTTTTAGAAAGAAATTGGTAACTCATGCTATGACAGATGAGGATGACAGTTTGACTTCTGAATAGAAAGTGCTACAGTCCAAAGAGAAAGAAAGACGCTCATGTTCAGGAGTGACAAGAGGTGAGCACTATAGTGAGACTCTACCAGAGGATGGTGTGGACGCCAACAGAGGATGCTAAAAATGTCAATCTGTGGCTTCCGTTTGTGTTTCAACCGTGGCTTCTCTCAATTTTCTAATAATTAAGATGAACAAACTCTATCAGTTGCCTTCTAAGTTGGGTACATTTCTAGATTTTTAAAACATTTCCCAAGGGCACGTGTGCTCACCAGAAAGTGAGAGAGAAAGCACCTGCCTAGCAGGGTGTAGCTATACCACAGTCCTTTTGCTTCCACTTCTCCATCTTGTCAGGATTTAGGGAATGCAAACACACATGTGCTTAGTATGTTTTTCTTTCCTTTTCTTAAAAATTTACATTTTTTTTGGGAGAGATTTTCGCTATAGGGCGTGTGCGCTCGCCAGACAGACAGAGAGAGACAGAGACAGAAAGCAAGAAATCACCCCCCACGGGGGATGGTCACACCGCAATCCCTTCTCCTCCATTCTCTTCTCGGGATCTTGGGTATGCCCACACACATGCACCCAGTGTGAGTTTTAAGCCCCCGGGTCCAGTATGCGAACCGCGGTCGACTACGTAGGAGTCCAGCGACATAGCCATTATGCTAACTGCTGGTTCCCTTAAAAATTTACATTTAATCATTGTACAGCTTTACTGCTTGCAACATGGTTTTTCTCAGCATGCATACGATGTATGTCAATCAAGTCAAAGGTATTACCATCTATATCATCATCCAGTGATACCTTTCCATTCTTGTGCCAGTTAAATGGTTTTCATTTTCCTGAGCTTCCTGTCCCCACTGCCAAAAAATAGGGAGAGCTTCATAAATTGGTGTGTGATCTTTGTACAGGGGCCATGCTAATCTCTGCATCATTCCAATGTTAGTATATGTGCTGCCAAAGCGAGTACCTGGTGTGTTTTTCAAGCTGTTGGGACTGGGATTGAACTACAGCCAGCCACGTGGGATCTGGCTCCCTATGTATAGCACTTCAGCTTTGCAATACAGGGCTGGCCATAAGTTAGGTATGTTTCTATATGTGTGGAAAAACACTTGTTGCCCAGGTCAAGGAGCCCTGCAGAGCACTACTCACAGAGTAGATTGCAAGGATATGATGTTCATGTGGACAGCCCTCAGTCATATCCAAGTCCCCTCTGCAATAATAGAGACAAGGAAAGCCAAGTTATTGCTTATATTAGAGCTTTAATTTCCAGATATTTGTTACTTTATCTCTAACTTGAAAGCAATTATTATTTTTTTTGACACTCAGTGACCCTTCATGGTAAGAATTATATCCATGTAAAATACAAGCTTAGAATTGTAAGAGATAAAGCTGCCTTGACAAATTATGCTAAAAAGGAAAATAACAGGCCAGCTGTAATGATGCAGGCAGGGAGGCACCATGGCATGATACTGGAGCCACATGAACAGGTCAGGGGTTCAGATCCCAGGTTAACCTGAATATTGCTGCATGTACCAGCAGGTATACCCACACTCTGGCTGCCTGGAAGGCTGGGAGGGGAAACATAGTGTGACAAGCCCCTGCCTGTGGTCCTTATCTATTTAGCTTTTTTTTAAAAAATTTAAAAAAAAAAAAAAAAAAAGAAAAGAAAAATCAACATAAATCTGACTGCAGCCTCCCCAGGCTGGGAAGGACACAGGACAGCCTTTGGCTGTTTAAGGACCAGATGTACCATTTTTCATTCCCAGCATTTTTCATGTCAGGCACAGAATTCATTGTGGACTCTTCCTGGGTGTGCAACAGGCTAGGGACACTTGGATCGGAGACCAGTCACTGTGCCACCCTTCCTAGACAACTATCACATCCTTGTCCTCAAGATAAAGCCAAACTCCTTCCTGAGGCTAATGAAGTTTCCCTGCATGTCTACACTGTCCACCCTTGCTTACTCTCTCTCCCCTCATGACCTTTGTGCAAGATCCTTGTGCATACCCTTGTTACCTGTTTCAGCTTTTGGAGGGACATTTCTTCCTTTATCTTCTCCTCCCCAGTATTGGGTTACAGGCTCTTTCTGTATGTCTTCCCAGGCCCCTATATCGTCTCTCATAACATTCTAAGTTATCACTGTCTATTGACTTGGTTGTCTACCATTAGACCAGTTGCTCTGAGAGATTCATCTTGTTTGCCACTGAGTCCTCTAAGTGAAAGACTCAATAAACAAATGAGCCCCTAGCACAGGAACATGTTTTGATAAGCTTTAATATTTTATATGATATGCACATATACTAGGAGATGGAAAGGAAAAATTGTGTGTGTGTGTGTGTGTGTGTGTGTGTGTGTGTGAGGGTAAAGGTGTGAAAAAGTTAAGTGGGTGAAGAAAACATTAATGTCCCTTAAGACTCAGGAAGTCCTGAGGAGGAAAGAACTGCAAAACAGCAGGATTCAAGCTGTTCAGATGGTACACATGCAAGTAAGAGAGAATGGTGAGTATCAAGCTTCTGATATTTCAGAATCACCAGAAAGCAGAGTGATGCTGCCAAAAGACTCCCGGCAATGTGTATGTGTGCATGAATTATGTTTTACAGCAACTGTATATTGCATTAGAGTTTGCAAGTTAACTAAAGTAGGGGGATTTTGAGAATTAGGGTCATTGCCCTTCTGCCCAATAAATCAGGAAGATCATTTCCTTCTAGGAAGCTCTTACATAGGCTGTGGGAGTTGAGAATGACCTCCTGTGTCCTCATTGATCTGTTTCCCTTGTAAAACCACCCATAGCACTGGCCGCTGTATAATTCAGCACAAAGCACTCTGGGGGTTCTTATGAATCTTAGGGTTCCTAACTTCCAAATGCTCACAATCCAGTTAACAGGGCAACATTTGGTCAAGTGTAAATACATGAAACAGATAACAAGAACCCAAGCAATTTTACAGGGAGCTTATCTCTGTGAGTTCAGAGGTAGAGAAGGCTTCCCACATTAAGAACTAAGCTGAGCTCCAAAGGCTGGGGAACATTTGGTTAAGGATAGGAACATAAGAGAAGTCTTTAGACAGAGATTGAGATTTGAATGAAGATGAACAAACAAGGAAACTAAGTCAGAAGTGAATGAGCAGGCTAGTTTGACTAGAACCAAAGAAACTTTTAGCCTGTAAAGCCATTAATTGGAAGCGGTTGCCATCTTTGACCCTGTAGTATCCAGGTGAGCGATACAACATTGCCATGACTTAGAAAACGGGTATCTCTGAAAGTTAGTCCTGGTTACTGAAAGGCACAGAAAGGTCAGCACCTATGTAAAAGTATCTAGAATTCTCGCAATGCCACATTAGAAATAATACATTATGATTAAAGAATAGTAAAGTTTCCCAATACTCAATAGGGACTCAAGAAATTGGCATTCCTTAATTGGTAATGGTGACTCGACTACGTTTGCCATAACAATGATTCCTAACCTTTTGTGCTGTCAATTCACATTCCATATAGATTGTATACTCCTCGGAGAGACCTCAATCTTTCTTTCTTTTCAATTTTTTTCTGGCTCAGAAGTGGAGCTCATAGGAATTCCTTTATAAGTTGCACCACTGTGATCTAACCACATCTTTCCTTAAGCCCTGTCTCTTGCACCAGGGAGTATAACACCATGTTTGTGGCCTTCCTCAGAATTAAGGGAAGAAGTTGACATTCTGTTGCACAAAAGGAGCAACATAAATAAGTCATGGCTAACTTATTCTTGAAACAGCAAGATTTCTCCATTTCAAAAAAGGGCTCCCATCAATATTTTTGTTTTCTCTAGTCTACCAGACATTCTATGAAAGCCAATGAATTAAAGTTTCCTAAGACGCCAAGTTCCTCTCATGGGAAGCCACTGTCATAAACATAAAGTACCACTGGCTCATTCAACATGACTAGTAAAACAACACTTCCCATAATAAGTTTAAATCAACATTAGGTGATGTGGTATGGCTGCTTAAATCACTGAATTGATGTGTCATTCAGATAATATTTCAAAATAAAAATGGAACCTCATCAAATTGAGAGAACTTGCATTTATTTTATTTTATGATGGTCATGATCAAAGAGCCTGATGCTAACTGGATAGATGTGGTGGACCTTTCCTGACTTCTGACAGTGAGTCAGCCCATTTTATTAACAAATTAAAGCTAAGTAAATGATGAATCAATGCCCACAAAGCAGGAAAAGATGCCAGTTTCCCACTAAAAATTGCAAAGTGTGATAAACTTATTTCCGCTAAGAAAACTGCTGGAGTTTTTACTGGGGGATTTCCCAGTCAAACAGAGGCAAAGATATATAAACCAAGAGCGGAAGGTAAGCACATTTCCTCTTAGTGTTTTTATGCTGGACACTAATGCAAACATGGGGAATAATTTAGGGCTGTTTCATGTCATCCTCTTCTCCAAACCT